CAAACTCTTCCGATTGCGTGCCGACGTAAACAAACATTCTTGAGTCAGTTTGTGTGCCTTTCTCTGTGGGCTTATCTAGACTTTCTGCTTCGCTACCTTCGAAGTTTAAATCTAAACTTTGCTGCCCCGATTCGCTAAATTTGAAAAACTTCTCCTCCCTCTCAGACTCTAGTACTTTCACCCTTTTGGCAAACGCCGGCTTCTTCACCAATTCGCGTTCCCTTGCCCTCTTACTTCTTTTTGCCGCTTGTTCTCGATCCGTAAGGCCAGTCTCCTTATTATGTCCTAAATTTAGAGTTGGGACCCAATCAATGTTAAATTTATCCCATGATTTTGCGGCCTTCCAGAAGCAAAGTGTTTCTCACACACGCGATCGTTTTCCAAAATGGTATCGGTGAGATCGTCTCTGCAAATAGCAGAAATACAGCGCGATCTTCTTTCTGCTGACAATTCTCTGGCTTCATTTCCTTGATTTTCAATTGTCGAAGGTACTTTGGCAAAATCTAATCCTTTATTCCTTCCACTTCTATTTCCACAGCCGACAATCAAGCACAAAACCATCTTCTTTCAAAGGACGCAGTAGATTTGCATGCGATATCTGTACACAAATATGGCGGCGTAGCAACAGTTGTCAGGGTTTTGGTCACGTGAGTGAAAACGATCTTTKGCGTTTGCCTGGATGATTATACTTTTTTTCTAACATGTACTACAAAATTCAAATGCTCCTTTGAAATTTAAGGAAATAAATACAAAAATCCTTGAAGAACCCAGACGAATTTGCAAGGCTTTTTAAAATCGTGTATCCGGCAGTACAGAGACATAAAAATCTATCATTTACCGCAAGGAGGGGTGGGCATCCACAAAACAACCGCACTATCGACTTTTGCTCTCTTGTCAACGTACTCAGAGAAAACGCTAAGCGGGCAGACGAGAGTTCATACCTCCAACTTAAACTGGCGGCCATACTGAGGGGAGGGGAAAGGTAACAGCTGTTACGACACCGGTCCAAGTCTTCTATTAAACGGTTTAACAGAAACTTTGCTCGATTAAGTCCAGTCCCTTGAGGTGCTTCAGAACTAAAGTGGCGACATAAATGAACGTATTAACCAACGGCTTGAGTCAAGAAAGCTTCCTTATCCTTCATTTCAATATTCTCTTAAACTGAAGTAAAGTTTTCAAACAAACGTTGCCGTAAAACCCACGAAGCCTTGGGGAAGTGTGGTTTTTATCACCATTGGTGGAAAAATAAAATTAGAATAGTTAACTTACCTACTACACTGCAATAATTACTATTCGCCGTATCTCTATTTTGACTTTTCTTTCTTTCATTTACTTTTTCATTAGAGACGGAAAACATTCATTGCGCGTTTAAAAGAAACCCAACGAAAAACGTGAACGAGTGTAAGAACATAAAACGGCTGACACGTTTGATGCAAACCATGATGAGCGAGTGTTATGCATGCGTTACTAAGATAACGTGTACATATACCATAATATTATCACTCTTACCTCGTCCTCACGGTATCAGTCTGTAGTTCTCCAAAAGTCGGTGCATCTAAAAAAAGGATTTGTATTCATCAAGAGAATTGGCTCCTGTATTTTTGCACTGAAAACAAACCTGAATTTCAACTAACGAAGACATACTTAACTAAACGAAACTATTATTTTATGATTGCTTTTATTCGCTTCCTGAAACACTTCAAAAAATCAAAGGGCACCCACATAGTCTTGGCTATTTACGAATGATCAGAAAGTAAATATTGCCAGAAGCCCAAATCATAAATAGGAAGATCTTTAAGCAAGATGTTCTGAAAGGGGATATTCTTGACGTGGATTTCTTTTCTGCACTTCACCGAGACCTCTGTTTGGTCAGTAAGGATCATCAACTAACTGGCAGTGTCAAAGTCCACTGCCAAACATTTCTAACCAAACTTTCATGACGTATCCCGCTGAAATTGCAATTAAAAAGTTGACTCACGCTGTTACAAACTCCCACCCACTCATAAGATTTATGTGATCCAAAGATGAAATTCATGGGAGAAAGAAGGAGTTGTACTGCCAGCAGAAAAAATGCAAACCTTCATGCTCCCAGCTCATAAAGCTGGTGGTGGACTTGCTGTCGGCTCGCACTCGGTATCTGTATTCCACGTGGAATATCATTGGTTCACAACTGCCTCTCTCGTGTCCTCGTCGCCTGACATTCTGAACAAACAGTCCATCGATATTGCCAACAGGCTCATACCGAGCTACAATAACAGTCACCCCGTCCACACCTGTAGCTTTACCAAGACCCAGCTTACGACTGCTTTGCCAGACCAGCTGACTGAAGTTTAAAGTCTCATTACTAAAGCCAGGACTGTCAAAGTCATAGTTCAATATTTCCTTGTACCAGAGCTCAGATACCTGTAAAGAGTAAGAGATCAAAACCAGTTTGGGTATCTGAAGCTCAAACCATTGATAACGTGAACATTGTCGCATATGTGGTATATGTGACACTAGTGGCAGAGGAAACCAGGACATTTTATCCCAAGGCAGTACCTGTCTGGTCAATTGAGCTAATGGTAGATGATTTCTCCTGTGTTTTGGCTTTCATTTGGTTAATGAGTCCGATTTTTAAATCCGCAATAAAAATTCGAAGAAATGGGCTTCTCACGCTTAAGGCTGTAATTTCCTTCGGCATTGTATACCGTCTCGTGATCTGTCAAGATTATAAAATGCTGTCTATTTTTACAGCCATCTCCTACCTTAACCCCGCTGACTTGGCTTTTATCAAGCACTGCCACGCTAATACCAATTCTTGAGTTATCCAAGCTCTCCATGGCGCCAGTCACCAGAAGGCGCTCAGCCCAATACTGGGCTTCATCTGTTAGGACCCCACTGAAAACTAACGGAGGAGAACCATGACGGGCTCTAAAGTAGTTATGGGTCACGAGCATTTCCAGGCGAAAGCTCTCCAAGTCTGCTGAGCAAATACAAAGTTAAAGATAAGTTAGATATCTAAGACAGAGAAATCGAAATCTAAAACCAAGGAAGACACTTTTTAAAATATGATTAAGTACAAAACCGTTGACATAATTTGGAGTAAGCATTATGGCTGGCATTCGTTTTGGAAGATTCATGTGTTATCTCAATGTCTCCGGCGAGCAAGGAGTATGGGTAGCTTTTTATGAAAATGATCTCTCACTGATTTCGGGCCACAGAAACTTTTTGTTTGTATTTTGCTAGTTGTTCAGTTATAGCTACCAAAACGGTTGCAGCTTAAAGCACTTACAAAACACTCGAAATTTCATCACGGGAGAGTCGAAAGACGTTTTAGTGTTTAGCATCGCGGAGTATTTTTCCGAGTTGTGCCGTATTTCGACTAGCTCGTAGGGCGAATCAAATATAAACAACCAGTAAAAATATAAAGCAATGATACTCATCGAAACGTCTAATAATTTATTTATCATCCAACTTATTTTATTTCTACCAAGTTTTTCTCTTCATTGCTCATATGGCAGGAAAAGCAAAGCTGATAGAGAAGTGTAGCGCGCTCAGCCGACCAGTTAAACAGGTTTTTTTACAGTACAGTCACCTGTACAATATCGCAGGAAATCTGTACTCTATTCGCCCGTTATTTGTTGTGCGGTTGGATAATAAATATATCTTTTAAACGTTTGTTGTGTAGTATCGCTGAGTATTTTTACGAGTTATGCCGTATTTTGATGAGCCCGTAGGGCGAGTCAAAATACAAATAACGAATAAAAAAACTTAGCGATACTACACAACAAAACGTTTCATAAGAGATTTATTATTCAACACGCCAAATATTATTTCAGTGCGGACGAATTTCGCGGATATTTGTCTACGGGGAGTGAGTGACAGAAGTATGCGAGGCGGAACGGAATTGGCGCGGTATTTTCTTCAATAAATCATGAAATTTCACTGTCGTCCAACTGCTTTTCTTCGTTAGACTTATCTAATAAACTTGGATCAATATTCGCTAGCAATTTCGACTATTCGTTGTCAGAAAAATAATTTGAAATTGTCCGCCATTTTTTTTTTTCATAACTTCAATCCAATTCGTCGCTTGCACGATGCGAGAAAACTTGTCTGACCGGTTCTCTGGATTATAAATACAGCGAGATATTAAGCGAGATTAAGAAGAAGAAATACTTTGCCTTGAGAAGGATATTTAGTGTGGTACCAGTTTCTCGCTAATGAAGATTAGAGAACAAATAACCGGAGATCACACCAAAAGAACTTTGCGATGTTACCCAAAGTTATTTAAAAGAAAAAACCTTGCGGTATGACTCACCAGGGGTGGGCGGCACAAAGCCTCTTGGCTCTTTACTCTTTCTTTGCCGCACTGCTGACCCCATACGAAGCACGTTGTCCCCAAATGATCCTTCCATGTTACCCGGAGGTTCATAAAAGGCCACCACCACACAGAGATCATCGTGAAGTGCTCTACCAACTCCAAGAGACTCTGACGCCACCCAAACAATCTGAAAAGGCAAAGCAAATCAAATAAATGATATCAAAAGTACCTGATGTTTATACGAATACCGCTGCAAGCAAAATGTAATGATTCTGAACTTTAGAAACATGAAATGACATAGTTTGCAAAACAACAGGACTCAGTATCTGCAAACAGATGAAATGTTAGCAAATGAGACTGTATTTACTTGATGTGGTTCCTCTTCGTACCCAGTTTTCTTTTTTTTTTGCCGTCGTAAGTAAAATAGAGAGACCTGGGAGACGGATTAAGCTTCTATGGGAACCTCGTCAGAAATTGGAAAACCTGAAAATGTGAGCTCTTTAGCTCACACAGTTTTTCACATCCTTGCTTTGTCGAAAATCCGTATGAATTATGAAGACAGAAAACCATAGAAAATTACCTGCGAAAAGTTTGATGTATTTTCGCTGTAACCCGGGTTTTCAAAGTTGTAGTCTTCTATTTCGTCATACCACATGCCTGTCGCTTCCCGCCCTGTTAGTTCACCGCCGGCCATTCCCGCTAAATTCTCCCCAACAGTATCGTCATCATTGTGACGAAGTTCGCCACTTCGCGCCAAATTCTCAGCCCATTGCTGCGCTTCCCAGGCCAGCTCGGCTGACCACTGAAGAGCAGCGGCACCGTGTCTGAGTCTGTACTCATTGTGCGCTGCCAGGCATTCTTCGTGAAACTCTTTAAGGCCTAAAAACCAGGAAATTAAGCCAATTGTTAGGGAGCTGAACGTTGGAAAAAAACTTTGAAACAGCTTGACTGTATAATGCCATAACGCGATTAAATGCACAAATGACGGAAAAATTCTGGACGACCGCCCCGAGACCTCTTCTGTAAATTTGCAGTCGTTTCTTGAAGTTTATATGGTGCGATCACCAAAATACCCAATACAGAGTGAGACATTCAACAATGCCCACGCCATTACAACTAACCGATACCGAAAAACTCCCGTTTTCACTTCTTGAGAAGAAAAGAGCGCGCAAAGGAAGAGTCAAGATATTTTACTTCGTCTCTCATTTACAAAAGCCTCTTAGGTTACTAGCTTATCTTTGTGGAATCTGGGACTTGTCAGTAATACGTGCTCTTATCTTCTCTAACATGTGCAGAAGGTTTCTACGCTTGAAAAGTTATCTATTTACATGCGGAATTTCCTCATTTACATGGATTGTTCCCGTTGCCTAACAGACTCTAAAATGTTGATAAATTGCCGGTAGAAAGAGTTGTTCCGATACTTGAAAATTACAGACTGACGTGTTTTGAACGAATTGAATTTCGTCAAATGACCAGTATGGCTGAACAGCAGGAATCAGTAGTAGAAAACGACTTAAGGAACCAAATGATTTTACCTCTACTTAAAAGAGCTTGTTTTCTCTACGAGTGAAAATGAACTTCTTTATTTCCATCTTTAGTATCAAATACACAGACACCATCTAAAACGACGAGAACTTTGCTAAATATTGAAAACATAATTTAAATTTAATCCACGCTTACCAGCAATCACACAAAGAATTTCATAATTTATAACTTTCGAAAGAATCCACGGCGCCAAGACAGTGGACAATTTCAAAGGTTGAATTTCCTCAGGCTTTCTCCTTCATTACGCTGTGGGGTAGAAATCTTTGCTTTACAGTAGCTATCGAGGAAACGTTTCAAAATATAAATTTGATATCTAGGAGGAAATTTTAGCAATTTCATAATAATTCTGTATTCAGGTTAATCAATAGCGGGTTACTCGTGGCTGCAATTTTGCATGCAAATTCGATATTATATATCCGCAAACAGCTGTACTGCTGAAATTTCCCCTTAAGCTTAACTGCAGTGTTCTCGATTATCAAACAGTTGGTAAAGAAAAAAAGATGGAAAAGGAAAAAAACACGATATTCCATATCAACGAGTTCATTGTTCGATTAATAAAGCCTTTTCGTTTACAAGTTTACCGCCAACTTTATCAAAGCGTTTAAAATTCACATATAATTATGATTTATCACAAGGAGATAAGAGCGTTTTCGATCTATAGGGATTACTCTGGCTAAAGCCGCAATGCCAACCAATTTTTAACAAAATCTACCGCCCTTATGCCCAACATGCTTCAGTGACGTGTAAGCAAGTCGTTTATATAGTTCATTGCAGAGGAAAATGATTCATTTGTAGGGCAAAAATATTAACCACTCTTTCATAAAGCGATAATACGTGTATTTACAATTAAAATTGAGAAACAACAACAAACATATGAAACATATGTGTGAACTGCGGTTATGAGACGTATATGAGAACGATCCTTCGCAGTAAAGCACTATTTGAGCAATAGTGAAAATCAGACAAATTGAGAAAGTTCAAAGCTCTGCATAAAGTGAGGTTTAGACAAATAAACCCAAACACGATTTATAAAAATAACTTTGATATTTAAGAGTACGAAACAGGTATTTCCTTGGTCCAGGATTACAACCAAGCCGAAAACGAAATATTTTGTTTCCATTCAACAGGTGCTTTAAGATAAAAGAGAATCAGTTTAACCGCACTTGGCCCCTAAACAATACCAAATTCCTAACTTACAAAAATAGAAAACCCAAGACAAGAAAATAATTAAAAGATGACAATACGACTTTGAGGACGCGAAATTCTGTTGAAAGTTTGCGAGGAAATTGGTTAATGAGATACTGAAACTTTTGCCCTCAATCGGAACAAAAGAGCGAGGTACAGAAATTACATGCAAATGTAATTGCCTGTAGAAACAGGCTGTAATCAAGAGCAAAGGCAAATAAATCGATTCTCTTCGATGCTTCAACTATTGTTTAAAAATAGTTCGAACAGTTTCTCTATAGATGGGAGATACCGTCTGAATCATTTGAATAAAACATTAAAGATCAGTAAAAGAGATAATTTTAGTTGTGATGCAAATCGAAATCAACCCTTTGTGAGGAAACAGAGCGAACCAAAACAAAGCGAAACGACTTCCGTCAAATGCAAGGCGCTTTACTCTAACTATCAGATTCTCATATTTCTAAAACTGACTTTACTCCTCGTGCTTCGAAGGATTATTTTTTCCACGTCCAGCGTTACTCGATACTCGAGAATATTATTATTATTATTATTTTTTGCGATTGTCGATCGACCCAAGTTATTGTCGATGAAATGATCGAAAGTAAGTTTTTTCTCCTTCATTTTAAAGATATCAGACCCTCCCCATAATTGAGTTTGGGTTGAAATAGTTTGTTCAGATTTTATTTGTGAAAAATCGCTTTCAAACAGCATCGCGTCTACTCCAGTAAACATGGAAAGTCGCTCCATTTGAAACCCTCCCGTTGATCACGAGGTTTCCTTGTTGTACATATTAATAACTTGCAAACGTCAATGGAAAAATATATTACCTAGATATCTGACTTAATTGTTGTGAATTCTAGACGGAACCAAACAAGAAAAAAATGTTTAAAATGTTTACTCTTTAAAATCGAAACTCGAAAAATTCCTTACTTTTGTATCAATCAAAGCAACTCTTAGTTTTTTTTTTCTATATCATGTAGGAAAAACTAGAGAATGAAATGCAAATAAGAAATCTAAAACACAGAGGTCGTCATATTGAAGAGGATTTTCACGAATGTTTCTTACCAACATAGAGCCTACTCCATCGTGTATCGTAGGCCAGAGGCTGTTCATTATCTCGTGTGCTCCTCGCTTTCTTCACGTTCCGCGTCACATCTCTCTTATTCACGGCTGGAAAATATCGAGCCACAATGATCTGTTTTCCATGTTTAGTGACAGCCGCTCCCGCGCCAAGCTCTCGCGTCCCCTCCCATACCACCTGACAGAAGGAGCGCGTACGCGAGTTAACTCGCGGCTTGTTGTAATCAAAATACTTCCCTTCTTCGTACCAGATCCGCGTGACTTTCTGCCCGTTTAATTCAGACCCCCACAAGCAGGCGAGGTTTTCTCCAATGTCCTTGTCAGTGCTGTACCTCAGTGAACCGCCGACGGAACTAGCGAGGTAGTCTGCCCAATTTTGCGCGCTCTCCGCGAGACGCGATGACCAGCAAAGAGGCGCTGTTCCATGGCCGGCGCGGTAGAAGTTATGGGCAGCTACGCATTCATTGCGAAAGCGCTGCAAGTCTGAGGAAAAAACGAACATGTGAAGTTAGCCGAGACACCTTATTCAAGAGCGATTGAAGGAAGGCAGGAAAACTGAATAAAAGTACAAATAAAATAGTGGTGAACTCCTGTGGTGGTTATTTTCCTCACTCGCCGTTCATTCATTTGAAGTTCGCTTCTAAACAGCTGATCCTGACAATAATCACAACCAGAAATTCTCCTTTATAATTCTTCATTAAGACCCTTCACGAGAAAACTTTTCTCGAAGACCGAGAGTACAATTTCCAATCGGTGTCAAATGCCGACATAGTTCTCTATGAAGTGTTATTAAGCTTCAGTAGTCTTCATATTCGATTTTCCAGACTCGTGCGTGCGACAACAGAACTAGAACTGTCACTGATCACATAGCGAAAGAAAAGCGTCCTAAACAACTATGGCATATAAACCTTACTTACCGCCTTTTTCCATCGTAGACCGGCATATGGACGGCGAGAACAATGTTTCGATCCGAAGCTTAATTTTTCAGCCCTGTCTCATATGAACTTCAACATATTCAATTCGTGAAATTCTGCCGCAGTCGGCGGGCAGGTGGTGCATTGTCACGTGATCAACAAAGCAGTCATTAAGCCGCGTCCTATCTGCTTCGACACATTTAAAAACAAAAACCTAACGATGTAATTTTATGCAGCTTGGGAATTCTTTTTTCACAGCACGTAGAGCGGAAGAGAAAACGATTTATATCGACACCAACTGCATCACGGCGAATTCAGGAATTCCATGAAATTATTCGTTGGACATTCACCTAAATTCCATGATTTCGAAGAGTATTTCTGATTTCGCGCAAGCTTGCGTACTGGGGAATTTCGACGGGAACTGGTCCATTGATAAGAGACGCGCAATCAAGAGGATCGTTCATTAGTAAAGTTACATAAGTACATTCACATCTCTTAATTGAACATGTAGACAAATAATCGTCCTACTCGAGGTTGAATGTTAGCCGAACCTATTCGGAATTTATACGATGATAATTTGCCACTCTAAAAGAACGATGGTTTTCTTACAAAGAGCTCGGAAACAAAGTACGAAGCTAAGCGACAGAAATTCATTTTGAAAACACACTCTGCTTTTATCCCAGTAGGGGTAAAGAGTTTTTCGATGAAAATCGTTCGTTGAAATAATTTCGCGGGTGATTCGATCAACAACCGCTACAGAGTCACACCCGTGTTACTGAAAAATTCATATTTAACCATAAGATGGATGCGATAAAGTCTCAAATGGTTTTGCAAGGATGTATCAGGAACGAACTGTTGAAATGATGTGACGAAATTATTTCAAATGGTTAAAGCGTTTTGCAGGGGTAAAAAATGCTTTCTTTTTCATGCTGAATGGACTGTTTCGAAAACATATGCCGCACAGAACATTAAATTTTATTTATCTGATCCGTTTGGAGAATTAGCAAAGAATATTCATATTTTAAGTTCACGGTGTCCATTGCAATAAGTTATTACACAGCTCAGAAATAAATGAAGTTTGAATAAACAGGATGATACCTGAAATGCGGTGAATTGGGACCGAAGCCGTTCAATAGAACTTTTCAACAATGGGACTTTGCTTCAGAACTGATGAACAATATTTCAAGAGATGAAAAGCAAAACAAAATGGAAAAAGCAATCTGTTTAGTATCAATAATTTAATAACTAAAATGACTTCGTGCGCGAAAAACTTTCATCAAAAAGCTCTTAGTGGTATTGTAATTTCGTTTCTCGAGATATAAGGTTCCTTGAAAACAGCGATCTAAAACCTTAACTCACGAACACATGAGTCGAATTTTAAGCGAAGCACCAATTTTTCGCCGTAATGACTATAGAAATATATTGCTGAAAAGTACAAAGACAAAATTGAATTTTTAATAAATGGCCAGCGGGCATATGAATAAAACGAAACACTGGAAACTCGTTGTTCTTAATTTTCCAAATAAGAAAGTGGTACGTATAAAATTCACAATACAACATGGCTCTTCAAATACAAGTTGCAAAATCCGAAAATTCCCCTTCGATTAAACTTTTTATTTACATTTAAAACAGAGAAAAATTTTCAGACTGTAAATATGTATTTAAAAACTATTTATGCTACTTTCGTTAAAACAAAACAATTATTCATACGTATACATATTACAAATAAGAGCGTTTTATTGTAAATAGAAGTATAGTGGAGATTTATTTATTCCAATTCACATTTTTAACACGTGTAAGTTAATGATTACGAGTGCAAGTGTTCAAATGTGTTAAAAGTGTATGAAACAGAATATGCAAAATTAGAACTAGTATCGAAAATGAAAAATCGTGTTATGAAAGAGAAACGCCCCCGTAATTGATCAAATACGACAACCTGAATTGTGGCGGATCTCTCATAACTTAAAGATATCGTAGCACTAAAAAAAAGTTGAACCTTTATTTGAGGGACTGCAGCTGCATCAGAATAAGTGCGAAATGTTTTCAAGCCGCAAGGCATAAACTGAAAGCGTTCACAGCAAAATTATTCACAGCCCACATCGCACACTAAGATATTTGTTGCATGAGACGAGCAATTTTTTAATTCGAAACTGCTGTAATAGATCCATGATGTACCTCAAAGTGATTAATGATATGGGAACAAATGGCATTGATGAGAGCCATTTCACTGCAGGGGGTTAGGAGACATGTCTACACGAAAATTTTAAGTTTTACTTCATAAGCTTCCTTAAGTTCCATTCATGACGCCCCTGATATGGGTCTAATATTAACCTCACTGACAAGGTGTCTCCTCTTTCCTTTCCCTGAAGCGATAGACAAAGCCACCGTGGTTTTTGTATCAAAGCTGTGAGACAGAGGAAGTAAACTTTTCATGTCTTCCTCGTTCCCAGGGCTATCACTTTTTCCCAAAAACGGCCAAATTTAACCCATAGATAGATGTGGAAAATCATTAAAATTAAGCTGGTTTTAAAGTAATATCTGGCTGTACTTCAAGGTCTTGACAGTTTCCCCGTAGTCTGCCGTTATTCATTTATATGAGTAAGGAGAGGCAAAGTGAAAGAATCGTTTTATCTCAAAGAATCAACCCACACTGACACAGATCAATCCACAGTCAATTACTACTTTGCTGCAAATTCCAGTACAGAAGTCCAAGCCACTTTACACTCTGCCGATTCACGCCTGCGCCGACGCTAGTAGAACGGCTCGCATCAAAGATGATTTGATGTTGTCATCTGAGTTGATAGTGGAAATTAATCACGGTAAAGAGTTTTAAAAGCTAGCGTTTCGAGCGCTAGCCCTTCCTCATTCAGACTGACAAGAGTATAACACTCGAAACGTCACCTACGGAAACTCTTCACAGTGGCCAATCTACATTATCAACTGAGTGATAAATCAAAGTCATCTTGTAATACCCCCCTGCCGACGCTGCACTACAGATTCTTTAGAAACTTACCCTCTTTATTCTCGACTCGAATCTAATCCGGTTTCATCTGCTACTAAGAAATTTCGAGACAGGAAACCAGAGGGCAACCTTAAAGGGAAAGGTAATCACACTTTTGTTCATTTGTCCCATTGGGATAGTTGAGCAGTTGCTCTGACAACACTTATCACATCTGGGGAGGTGATTTCAAAGTTTTTCTTTATTGACAAGTTATAAAAACTCATTTCAAAATAACATCTTTCGAGTCTAGTCAATTCTATCATACAAGTCAAAACGTTAAAAGTACTTTAAATTTCTACAAATGTGGTGTCTGAAAGTGCAGAGCTGTGGAAATGCTGAGCTCAAGAAGAAGGCAACGTCTGTATTGAAGATGCAAACTCAGTTTTAAATACTTTGCATACATAACGCGCATTTTTGTCATTCACTGTCCACTCAGTTGCGATTTGCTGCAAAAGTGTATCATTTGGCGGCGCTCCCGTTGAGAAACCTTTGTAGCAATGTCTGAATTTCTTCAACTTGTTCCACCACTTTTGCTGAAGGCACAAACTGCTTTCTAAGATCAAAAATTGTCAAGACAGGTATCTTCAAATTTCGTATTGCTTCATCATAAAGTGCATTCCCCTGTGAAAAACAGCAACAAGGCAGATTAGTAAATCACACTTTAATCCAGCCGGATCAAAGTCTGTCAACAAAACTACTACGGAAGGAAAGAGACCTATTCGAGAAATTTATCGTCATCTTACCTGACTTTCACTGGGTGAATGATGCTGTGTTTTTAAACGTTTTGGTTCAGGCTGCAACAAAGAAAGTTCCATCAATCGCATTCGCACAAACTCAATCAATAGGTCACGATTCGGTGATGAAATTGTCTTGAAAGTTGAAATATGTTTCATTTTCCATCGGAAATCAACAGAAAGATCATCGCCAAAACAAATTTCTCGTAATAAACGATAACAAACGCAGATATTGGCACTTTTTTTATTTCAGGGCACCACTAAAGAGCAAAGGGTTGTTATCGATGAGATAAGTGGAAGTTAGCCTGCGAGCAAGCTATTTCCCACCCCTACCCCGTCAGTAAACTTCCCTTAAAGGTGAGCTCTCGCCAGAGAATGTGTTGATTGAATGTGAAACAGAAAACGCCCAGGTGATAACACCGCCGATTAAAGATTATTAATCATTAGCTGCCGCCAGGCTAAGTAAGATAGCCTTGATTATAAGACAAGGCCAGCGTGATTTCAGAATCATTTGTGGCGAAACACAGATATAAACATTGGCCATTTGCGACTCCTTGTCGAGTACTGGCTTGCAGAGATCTGAGTTCGACGAGAAACGTTGCACATCATCAAGACAAAGTCTGGGTGATGCATAACGCAAATAAAAGCAAAATTATATTAAAAAAATAATCATTTTCGAATAAAATTCTATGGATTTGATAACTACCTCTACCTCTTTGTTATCATCTACACTTGCGTTACGTAATCGACCCCTTGTGTCCATAAATGGTATTTCTTTTTCTTTAATGTCATTGGATGGCGTGATCTGTGTTTTTCTCCACACCTCCGTTCCAAGATGTTGTCTTACAAACTCTACATCGGATTTCTATATAAACTGTCAAGGAAAACAACTTAAAGAGGCGCGTAAAAAAGGTTCCACTTTTTAACTACTTTTACAGAAGTTAAACCTCTGCAACTCAGGTAAAGGATACCGTCATGTCCCCAACTCCGAATTCATTGTGTTTATAAGGAAGCTGAAACAAGATAACGAATTAACATACGAGTTATCCATCAATCTTACTCCAAGATTTATGTCAACTTATCGCCGAAGTTGGAAGCGATTAAGGAATAAAATCACGATACGGCTACAAATAAACAAACCTGATTTAGAAAATCCGACAACCAAGGAAGTAAATTTTCAGGAACACAATCTCCCATCACGTAAGTGTAACGGGTGACCTGAAGACAAAACAACAAGCGTCAATCTAGGTTAAGTGAGGTGGAAAATTCTTAGTGGGTTACCATCACATCCAAATGGATTTCAGTGAACTTCTCAAAAGATCCTTCAAAGAAAAAACAACAGTGTCTACATTTTTAATTTTCAATGTTTGAATTCATCTTCGTACCTCTGCGAATCCCTTAACGCTATGAAATGCTTTTTGATGAACCAACCAGTGCGTGTCACAGACCAATGTGGAGAACATAGCGCTGATGTCGCTTAACGCTGTGGACTGGTAACAAATACTGGTAGGTCACAAATAGTGAGTGAAAAGTGCTCTACATGAAGTGCCACTTAGTCTATTGTCACAGAAACCGTGAGTTAACCAGACACATTATAGGAAACGAAGAGGAGTTGCATGTAAACTACATTGACCCAAAAAATGCTTAGGAATACAGTAAACAAATATGACAGAGCACTGAGATACAATTCATTGTTTTTTTCCCTGTTGTCAGATTGGTCAGTTTTAGGACCCTGGTAACAGCAGATGCTCTGTAAAGAGAACTCTACCAATACTCAAGAGGTTGATTACCTCGTCCAGCTGGGAAAAAAAAAAAAAAAAAGAAGAGAGTGCGACAGAAACTCAAAGCCACTACATGTCAGCTGCTTCGTACCTCAAGGTGTTCTGGGACATCCTTACAGCCGCATCTCCCGAGAAACTCTGCGGCTGCATGGCGAACTCCTGAAGCAGGCTTCATATCGAGGAGACTTCGTACACCAATTAATATCTGCGAAAAAGTAAAAACAAAAAATAGCAGTTCCGTTGGTAGCTAATAATACAATCAATTGCTTTCAACGGGAAATCGCAAAGCGCACTGTACCTTTGCATAATCTTCAGGCTGGATGAAGGTAAGTAAGGTGGATGTCAAATCCAGTAACTCGCACCACACATTGATTCTAAATCGCTACAAAATAATCAAAATCATTAACAGGAAATTTTGGTAGTAAGCTTAGTTCCGTAAACAAATCTATGCAGAGTAATTTATTATTAAAGTTGGTATTGTGAGTTGAATAAAGGTAAGGGAGTATTCCAAAAGCTTTCTCTCACTTAAGAAAAAATGATAATTATTCTACTCGTGCTCATCTTCGATTTTGTCCACAGCGATTTTGTTTCTATTTTTCAGCTAGCAAGGAAGCGCGGACCGTGGACACAAGAGAGAGCGCGAAGCCTAAACGGGAACAATTAAGGACCCCACCAGTCTTCCCACTACGTTTGCGATCGTCAGGTCCTTCCAGGGCTATTAAAAGACTAATCAACGCAATAAACAGACTAATCTCCGTTCTAAAGTAAAACTTACTTCTACTTGCTCACATCCTTGACAACAAAGCGACCACAAATCCTTGATAAGACCGATGGTAGCAGAGTGATGAACAGGAGGTAGATAGCTTTCCGTGCTGGGCAGGCTGTAAACTCGCCGGAGACAACTTAAGCAGCGCGACTGTAGCAACAACAACAACAACAACAACAACAACAACAACAAACAAAGAAACAAACGTTTGAGTAATTTTGGAATGGTGGCAATAACGAATATTTTATAAATCTTTAAGTTCGAGGGCGGCTTGATCGATTTCGAAAATGCCTAGAAACCTGACAAAAAACATAAAGAAGACCATTAACTTAAAACAAACTGAACAACTCGTATTAGAAAGTGAAGAAACTGAATCCGAAAGGAATTTTTCTCACACGTTAGCACATAGGACAAAAGGTACGACGGTTTGATATTACGTTGATATCGCTACGAAATAAAGTAGAGTGGCATTTTTTTTACGCGTCTCATGGTACATACCAATAGCTCGTTGTCTTCCGCTGATTGATTCGTTATTCGCGAGTGACAAACTTGTATGCACAAGGGAACAAGGGAACAGCAAACCTAAAATTCAAAGACAGTCCAGATGATCCACAAGATCTGTGTTCAGCATTAATGGAAAGAGTGGTTACGTCAAAGACTTCGTGAGATATCACGACGGAACTATGACCCGAAAACGGAGCTAATTTTGATTTTACAACGAGGAACGAACCGTGTTTGAACTGTAAAATATGATTATCCTTTTTGACAGAACGATGTTAGTTGATTTCACAAGGTACTGACTCTCCTTTTTTTTTTTCTCTTATCTGAATCTCCAGGTCCTAAAAATCTAGAAGAGGCACTGGATTTAAAGGCTAGCGCACTGCACTCCAGATGTTAGTACCAGTGCGCCTGTTAATATTCTGAAGAACCATGAAACAAAAGGCCTAATGCAATACTTCAGTACCCATCCAGTACAGGGAGAACCAGTAATTTCTAATCGACGCACAGTATTTATATTACAAACAAAATTCCGGCCATGAAAGCCCGAGACTAAACACAATCACCAACCACCTAAACCTTTTCTTTTACAGTGGACTCTACATGGAAATCATCGTTACAATGGTACCTTTTTCTTGACGTTCTCAGGCATATCTTGTAAGGGATACACACACCACGCGGTTATGTTTTCTTCCTTCGACGGTGGAAAAGAAGTGACAAGATTCTCCTACAGAAAAACGTTTGCCGAAAAATAAAGTTAATAATCAGCCCATAGATACTTTCTGTTTCTCTCGCATAAAAGTAGATCTTAATAGAGCCCTAGTGTTTCAAACCTAGTCATGAGTCAAGTATTCCAAAATGTAAACACTTAGTAAAAAGTAAGCAGATTCTAATCAGACATCACGTACTTGATGTTCCACAGCCATTAGACGAGTGAGACGTCGAATGAGTAGCGACAAGTGGACATGACCAGCGCTTGAAGCAGGCAACTGTAATAACTGCAAAATGAAGTCAACAATCACAAAAAATAAATGTTAGACTGATCCACACTTTGCTTATTAAGTTTTGAACCTGTTTGCCACAAAAGTTTTAACAGTGTTCTTCTACGTTTTGGCGAAGACATTGCCACTGACTTCTCAGCTCTTGAGTAAAGGGGCGAAATGACTGCTATTTTGTCATTAAATGACACCGCATGTACAAATATTGTCGCAGCTATATCCACCAGGTGACTCTATCGTAGTTAACTTGCTAAACACATTTTACTTTAAAGTTAATTTTCTTTTTTGTCTTTGATTTTTTCCTTTGCAACAAAGACCTAAATACTGCAGTTTATTGAAAATGAAGGCTTCACTGACGGATACATTCTGTAAGATGGACACCTACTGCAATCAGAAACGAGGACATGGTCACTGCCATGCCAACACCCGATATCTCTAACCTCCGTTCTCCCAACTTCGTTCCCCATGGGGCGGAGGATGCAAGGCCCTGGGAACGAGGTTGCCGTTCTCCACGACGAATGCAATTTACAACCCTGAGAGGGGAGGGGGGGGACCTAATTCTGTTGCGAGACATAGTACCTTGAACAGGGTGGAAAAATTACTGGGTTTTCACTTTCTTTTAATAGGGTCGGTGTTTGAAGGCCTTTGTAGTACATCCCAACTCAATCTTCCCTTGATTACCTCAGAGTCTACAAGTCACCTACCAGTTGAGAAAGAACCATTACATGTCCTGCACACAGCTTGGCAGAGCCCCACCTACAAGTAGACACAGAAAAATCATGTTCAAAAGATCTCACATGATGCACCAAATAAAAAGTAATAGTAATAGTAAACAAAGTTAAATGTCTTTACGCGGGCATGGTTACCCATATTGCCCGAGCCAGAGGCTCATGTATGAACGCAAGACAACAACCCACCTATCCCACCCCACGGGAGGACATCCATCACAAAGCAATCTCGTGCGTGGAAAATTAACGTCTCCTACCCCTAACCCTGCAGGAGACGGGACCTCCATTTATTCGCCCCTATCCAAGGGGACTAGAATATCTAAACCATTTCTTGATGTTATAGAAAGGCAGCATATTCTTCTCAATTACTTTAAGACCTTGAGTGTTGGTCCGGCRGGGGCTTGAACCCTCGACCTCCCACACATCAGTCCAGCGCTCTATCCATTGAGCTAACCGGGAGGCAGTTAAAAAGTAGTTGAATAGCGTGTATTAACCATGATGTTACGTCTACCTTGCCATGAAGCACCACACATCGCTAGAGAGCAAGGCACACAGCAGGTCATCCTGGAGGACGTGTTCCAACAGGCATCGTTCCTAGAAAAAAAAAATTAATTAAAGAGGGGGTGTAATTATGATAACATCCGAGATATGTTAAGTCGATGAGACAATCGCTTGGAAATGCAAGACATCAGAAGCCAAAAAATAAAAGAGAATATTAGGTGGAAAGAGTTCACAAGTAGCAGTAGCCATGGCATGAATGTTTACAGCCTGTCTACATCTTAGTTCTCCAGTTACAAATGATGTGGTAGAGGTGTCACTGGTATCTTTAACCTTGAACATGTAAAAAGTCTGTCTAGGGGCTGTGATTCAACAGACGTGATATATCACATACTAGTTAGCAACATTATTGCATAATTTCCTACATAACTTAAAACAACATGCACTCTCTGTCACCACGTTAACCTTTACGAACCCACAGTCGCTTAATTGCCACACAGAAATTTTTCAACACAACTGATCCTAACAGTAAACAAGGCTTGTGCAACATCTGAACACTAAACACAGTGTATGGCTTATAAATTATACACAATTTCCCTTTGGCTCAGAGGTAAGGTAATCAACTGGTCAATGCAAGGAATGGGATTCTAACTTTGATTCGGGAACTCAGAAATGGTTCTTTACCCTGTTCTTGAAAGAAATGACTTCACATCTCTCCTTATTCTAGCAACCCCTACCATTACAAGCACTTTGTTTCTTATCAGCAATACTTACCACAGCAGAAAAACATGCCGCAGGTGTGGAAGCTACAACAGAGCACATTCTAGTACAAACATGCTCATACAAAGTTATCTCTCTGAGAAAACAACAGAATCAAAAATGTATTTGATTATTCTGGGATGTCATTCTTCAAATGAATTGTCTTTTAAGTAAAAAATGCTTAATGATTAACAAGCTTTAACCCCATTTAGGCCAAAAAAAGAGTAACGTTTCTCTCTTTGATCTCTTAAAATTGTCAAATTCCTTTGTTAGGGAAAAAGAAATCTTGGCAAAGCTTTATTTTATCCATGACTGATAACATTTATTGACTTCTCAATCAAAGTCTCAATTGAGAAGTACCAAAAAATGTCTTTCTTAAAACCATACAATTCTTACAATGGAATAGATAAAAGAACTAACTATTCAATGCTAACAACCAATTTTGTTAATTTTTTTCTCTTTTCAGCACATGACTACATTAAACTCAAAACAAAGCCAGACCTCAATGGTTTCCCCTTGCTCATTATACCATCCACATATATTGGCAAGCGAACCTCCACAACACCTGGGAAGGAAAGATATACATGTATTACATTTAAAGTCCTAAAACATGCAGGGATGTTCTAGAATGACATAATAAAAAAAATACTTACAGTGACTGAAATATTCAAACACAGCCTCCAAAAGTGAATTACGAGATTCTTCCTGTTGAAGACAAGAAAAACCATCAACATGCTGAACAGCTTACAAGAAATAAATTATGCTACCAACAGTTGATCACAACTTAGCAGTTGAAGTGTTGGCCGATAGCAGCAACCAGCCATCTACCAACTTAAATAACATAGAAACAACAGTCTGCTAACTATTGCTCAATTTTTGCACTGACTAAGGGCTAAAGCTCGAAATGTCAGCTTTTAAATTCTTTACAATGGCCAATTTACATTATCAACACAGTTGATAAAACCAAATTACCTAATATTATATTGCTTAATTTGTTGACCAATAGTACTGGTTGATACTCAGCCAACTGATGCCTCAAGTAGACATTATCCCATTTAGTATAACTTCCTTTTTTTAATTTCAAAGTAGACAAATCATCAATCATAACACTATCACACACTGCACCTTACCTCTGGATAATCGATGGGTGATATCCAATATGCAAATACACCCTCTACAAGATACAAAGATGTCAGGATTGAAGTTTTTCTAGCTTAAACACTCATCATTTTGTACATGTTTATGTACTAACATCTGTCTACATCAACCAAACATTACAAACCTTACAATTTAGACAAATATAAAAAGGCTAATATCAAGACAAGAGTCACACCAAAACAGCTTGGCAAGTGAAAGATTAGGCCTTCCAAGACTTGGGCTACTGACTGAATTTATGCAACATAGCAATGAAATAGACTACCTTATTATAGGTAACCTAGGTTGTGATTCAATAGTCAAGACCAAGTTAGTAGTCAACTTTAAAATGTTTCATTCCAGCTCAGGCTGGTCTTGAAGCAGAAATAAGTTTAAAGCCATTGCAGTTAGCCACCACAATTTAGTGGTCATAACAGTTAGTATTGACAGAGTTTGTGTACTACAAGTACCTGGTGTATTTGGTAAAACACTCAGAATAGTAACCAACAAATAGCAGTGTGCGAAGCAACTCTTTTCATCCACCACTGAAAGAAAATCCACCAAAATGACAGCTTAATAAATTAGAAACTACCCTCACTCATGACTGCCTGTTGGAAATCTAAAATGAAAACTCATTTTGTTTAAGTTAATTGCAAAAGCAAGAAAAGGGAAAATGACACCAGCTTCTTAATTTTCAGACCTACCCAGTGATTTTCTGGTAATTAAATTGGCAAAATGTTTGTTTTTCACAATAACAGAAAGCAGTGGCTCCACCTTTGGAAAAAAAAGATATTTAAATTATAATTACCACATAATGTGCTCAAGACGACATGATCACCAAATATGAAAACACCAAGGAGCCAAGGAAATTATTAGTTAGAGAAACGTGACCACACATGTGTATGCATTATAAATAAATACATGTTATGTGACACAAAGTTGAAAAAAATCAGTAAAACCATTTGTTGAATATTTCTTGAATGATGAGGAAACAAATTTCAATTTATCTAGCACATTTAACTCACCGCTATCAATAAGGCTGATTTTATACCCTGAACTGCACAAGCATCAATTTTTGGAGCACTCAGACTTGGAGGTAAATTGCTAAGCCATGGAAATAGAGGATCAGTCATTATACACTTTGACTAACACTAGCTAGTTCATAGAGATACACTTTTATGGGGTGCCAGTGAATATGTATTATGAAAATTAGGGGGACAGATGGTTTCCTTTATCAACTAAAAGGCATTTTAAGTTTTTCCTAGTAAAATCAAAACAGGGTTTTACACATACCTTTGAATCATTAACAGAAAATTAAAAATTTTTTCCAAACATGTGTCATAATAACCATCATATTCCTGTAAAGATGTTCATGGCAAAAGGAACAAGTAAATAAATAAATAAATAAATGTGCTTGAATTCAGTATTAAACTACAACAAACTACTCACACTGTATGTGTGTATATATTTAACAATTATTCCACGAGCGCGCATTGGATATGAGATGATAGATAGCCAACGAGGCGCGTAGCGCCGAGTTGGCTATAATCATCTCATATCCAACAAGCGCGAGTGAAATAATTGTTTTATTAAAAACGTTAAATTAATTAAATTTTATTCCACTTTTAGCTCCCTTTTAATTTTAATCTGACACGTACGCTTGCCATATTTGTAGATTATGGTATATTGGCTGATATACCATAATGGCTAAGCCAATAAAAAGTCTTGAATTGCATTATCCAATGATCTAGTTTTTAATAATACTCTTTATGTGATAAGCTGAATGATACCTTCCTTTTGATTGGTTGCTACTTGTGATCGACGCATTCACATGTAGACGATGTCGCCATAAATAACATTTTGATTTTTTTCTAATGATGAAGCACAGTTAAACAGATTTCCTGTCTCTGAACAGTAGTAGTTCAC